GGGAAGGTGCAGGAAGGGGACCGGGGCAGAGCGCGATAACGATGCACGGGGACGGTGCACGGGTGCACGGGAAAGTGCAGAGGAACGGGGCAGCGAGCGAGCGGTAACGGTGCACGGGGACGGTGCAAGGGTGTACGCGGAGGGGCAGGGAGGGGACCGGGGCAGAGCGCGATAACGGTGCACGGGGACGGTGTATACAAGTGAAAAAGATCGGGGCAGAGCGGTGCACAGGTGCACGGGAAGGTGCAGGAAGGGGACCCGGGGACGGTGTACGGGTGAAGGGGACCGGGGCCAAGCGCGATAACGGTGCACGGGCGTGCACGGGAAGGTGCTTAGGATGGGTTCTCTTTGGATGACGACCGATCGCTACACGGGCCCTGCAGTCGCACACATCGCAGCCCATACAGAAAAAAAGTTCCCTCGCGTTATTGCTACGACATCTACAACTCATGTGTATGTTCCGTGGGTTTTTGGGTTCCCGGCTTGACCTTGTTTTATAAAACCATAAGTATTTTCATTAAGATCAATCCGGTATTCGTCTCATTCCTCTCCTTATAAAATATTACAATAATTCTTTCAAAATCTTAGTATTTACGAATTTAAATATAAATATTGATTTTAGTGAATTATTGTGCAGAGAAAGAATTCCAAGTAAACGCCCTTCGTGATAATTCAGTGTTGCTTGCCCCCAGAACCCTTCCAACCATTTAGACCTTGCTTTCACAAGCCACATACCGATGGCAATCAAGCACAACAAGAAAGAATAATTCCCTATGTAGACGCTCATTTCGCAAGTGCCCGCTCCAAACACACATCCGTGGCAGGACAACACATCAAAAGCGACCATTCCCACATTAACATGGCTTTTCCCATGTAGACACCGCATCACCAAGGTTGACATCCACTAAACCAAAACATAGTAACCAAGCCATTCCCCATGTAGACCCGTGCCAGACACACGCCCGGTGGAATCATGACACGTCAAAACCAGCTACTCCCCATGTACTGTAGACACTCGATTTCACAAGCCTTTAACTTCAGGCCTCTAATGCAAATAGCCCATTGCCCATGTAGATTCCACACATCGGTGGCATCACAACGCATACAAAGCAGCCTTTAGACGCTTGCTGCAGGCATCCAGCCAGGACACACACACATTGGCAACACAGCGACAGCACATGACAGCCAGCCATCCCACTCGCAGACACTTAGCTTTCGCAAGCACTCATCGGCAGAACAGTGACAGCGCATCACGGCCAGCCATTCCCCATGTAGACGCTCGAACAGCCAGGCAACAGGGTTCCGAACGCAAACAGATTCTGCAAAAAGACGCCTCAATCGAAACTGAAACGACAAGACCTGACACCTATGAAAATACTGTATTCACCTTGTGACGCCCCTCCCGGGACGCCTCTCGCATACTCGGGACGCCACAGGTCATGCACCCACACTAGGTTCAAACCCACGCATCTTTTGGGTGATCTTCCGCACGCAACTGCTCAAGACTCCAAGTTCTGCAAGGTCCGATGTTCACTGCTTCGCGTCTTTGCCGACATTTAGCCCTCCTCCTGAAATCGGCCGGAAGCGAACCTACACATCTATGCAATCGATTCAACGGCTGATCTTTTTCCAAACAGCACTGAACAACCTCTTTACTCAGGCAAGAACACCACGCATCGCAGCTCCTCGCGGTTCCAGCCCTTACCCTTGCCCTTGCCCTTTCCCTCGGAGGAGTCGCCACCAGCCAATGCAGGTCGGGTGGGGCGCTGCTTGGTCAGGGTCTGTGGGAACACCTGCTGAGGGAGGTGAAGCACCTCACGGAGGTACTCGATACCCTCGTTGGTCAGGGTGTAGTAATGCCACTGCCAGCTGTAGATCTCCGACAGGTAGTTGCGGGAAGCCAGCGATCGCAGCACCATCATGACGTGAAGGTTGGGGATGTCTTCCAGCTCGTTGTGCTTGCACGCCTGGTAGTCTTTCTTCACCACCATGACACCTTCCTTGAAGAGGTGCTCGAGAATGGCCCGGCGGGACTTCTTGGGAATCAGCACCATGACGTCAATCCTCGCACTTGCACAGAACTGCGTCTGCACGGGATCTGTGCCATGAGTCTTAAGGGAGCGTGCTCCTTGCTACGACTGGCAAAGGTGCTTCGTCCAAACCGACCTTGGACCTTTGGGCAAACTGCCCACGGCACAGCTAAGAACGGGGCGGGTTCGCCAGCAGCAAGCCTTGGCAAAAGCTAAACAGCGTGAAACGAGCATCGCGGTTGAAGGGATGCGTAGTCGACCGTCTGCTAGGTAGTGAAGCCAAGACGCTGCAGAGAGGAGCTTGAGTACAGTAGCTTGAGCCAACATTTCCGAGTCGTGACTGTGCACTAGAACTGATCGACGAAAATGGGGGGGAACAGTGATCGCTCATTATGAATGCAGCTCAATTCGTTTGCCACCGCGCATCGCCTGAGAGACTACACATTGCCGTCCTCCTGCTGCCGCTACTCTCGAACCATCATCTAACCAGACTAGACTTCTCAGAAGTGGCTGTCTTCGCTTAGCCTTCCTCCTGGAGAGGCAGGACTCTGGCGCTTGAACACAACCACAGCACAGCAGCTTATCGAGTGCTCACAGCTGATGCAGCTCCTCGCGGTTCCAGCCCTTACCCTTGCCCTTGCCCTTTCCCTCGGAGGAGTCGCCACCAGCCAATGCAGGTCGGGTGGGGCGCTGCTTGGTCAGGGTCTGTGGGAACACCTGCTGAGGGAGGTGAAGCACCTCACGGAGGTACTCGATACCCTCGTTGGTCAGGGTGTAGTAATGCCACTGCCAGCTGTAGATCTCCGACAGGTAGTTGCGGGAAGCCAGCGATCGCAGCACCATCATGACGTGAAGGTTGGGGATGTCTTCCAGCTCGTTGTGCTTGCACGCCTGGTAGTCTTTCTTCACAACCATGACACCTTCCTTGAAGAGGTGCTCGAGAATGGCCCGGCGGGACTTCTTGGGAATCAGCACCATCTTTTGGTCAAATGATGTTCCTTTTGCTACGTGCTGCGCGGGACGCGGAGACCTATCCCTTGAGGCGACGAAGGTTCGCGGTCATCGACCGTGCTGAGTTGAGGCCAACACAACATAACACAACCTAAGTCTAGACAGCATTCAGATCTGCCTGAGTGGTCCCAGCAGCTAGCGACTGGCTGAACAAGAGCGAATCTACGTGCAGCTTCTGTCTTTTCCATCTTTCGGGTGAAACACTGCCACTGTCCCAGCTGACCATGCACACAGCAAGCTACAGCAAGCCAGAGGCTTGTGGGCCTCGGCCGAAACATCACTTTTGCTGTTGAATCAACTCCTTCAGCTTGACTTCATCTGCACCTACAAGCTCGCCCACCTCCAATGGAGCAGAGTTTGTCACACAGCTGAGAGCCAAGACACGGCAACACCGCGGCCTGCGCATCCCCTTTGAAAACCAAGAATGTTGGAACTGCATCGATACTGGCAGAATCAGCGATCTCCTGGGAATGTGAGGAGGTCATATAAGGTTCCAACGTCATGAATTTCGGGCTCGTCCTCGGATTTGTCAACATCGACAACCACGAACTCAACGTTGCTGAATTCCTTGCATGGTTTGCTCTTCTACCAGCTCAGGCTTGCATCAAGCATGATTTGACAAGCGTCGGGGAGTGCAGCTAACTCGGAATATTTTGGCTCCATGAGGTGACAGGGCAAACACCAGGTGGCGCTAAAGAAGAAGACGACGAGCCTGGCAGAGAAAGGCTCAGGCTGAAGGCTTAGCACATGCAGCAACAAAACGTACTACACTTGACTGCCTGCATGCAGCAGTATCTGAGAACCCGGCTTTTCAAGCTTCAGGCAGGCATCGAACTCTGTCTTCTTGCCGATTAGCTTCACTTTCGGCATGGCGCTGAACCAGATTTCAAGAAGGCTGACAGGGCTGTAAACTGGGGGTGGCCTTCAGACTGTCACTGGTTTTAGACTCATGGTTTTAGATGCAACCAGGGCTTGCTGCGGCAGTCAGCCAGTGCACTCCGAGACCTGCAGCAATTTGCACCACGCTTCTATGCCTGCATGGGCGTGCAATGAAAGACCCTTTTCCTCGCTTGTGAGCGATGCATTGGGCCATGGATCCCCGATGACCCAGCCGCGTCAGAGGTCGTCCGGAAGCTGGGCCAGCAGAAACATCAGTGTCACGTGTGGAACGCAATTCATCGCAATTCGACACAGATCAAAGCCTCTCGAATTTTCTGAAAGGTCTGGAATCTTGATACTTCCACTCCCAAAGAACCAGCGGCGCGCCTTCAGAAGCTGGATAATGGGAGTATCTTTGTTGTAGCCACGGCGATCTCTGTGTGGTCGACTTGGTGCCCGAACATTGCTCAAAAAACTGCAAAAGCCTGCCCTTAAGCAGCCACGGTAGCCTCTTTGGGACCCTTAGTGTTTACGTGATTTTCTTCTGGGAACCCGGCTCTTCGGGCATCTGACTCGCGTTCAGGCTGTAGGCAAGGACCTTGGATAGCTTCGCAATGCGTGGGCAGTGCGAGCGACTACCAAACTGAGCATCAGCAAACACCAGGGGGCAAGCATTCTTCGACGAATGCCACCTGCCGTGCCGCATCATCTCATCCTCCCTATGTCCGTACTTTCCGAGGAGCAGCGTGCGACCTTGCCTCAAAAAGGTCACTGTCGCAGGGGTGAGGTCCTGGTAGTACCTTCAGATCCATACTGCTGGACTGACTTGGTCTCTGACTCGCCTGATGGTGCCCTCCTGCGTCCTGCATAACGATACCAATAGCCGTGTTCTGGGCATCCGGCGGAATGGCCGTGTTGGAACCCATCAAGGTGAGACTCCTCTCACCTTGTGCTTTGTCGGCCCTTGACGAAGAAAAAACAGAGGCATCTAAACTTACCCCGCCTGCCCCAGTACCCCATGCAATCAGCGAGCCATTGTAGTTGAAGTCCACATTCGTAATGACCTTCCACAACACAACCACGCATGGCAGGAATTGGCTTTAACATGGTCTGCTGCAGCCCTCGTGTCTCTGGCAGTGTCTCCTGGATCTAGAGAGCTTCTGATTGGGGGAGCAAACGAGCGTTTTGGTAATTATATAAAGCGATAACACACGGTGGCACCTGCCCCGGATGAAGGAAGCACCTGAGGCACAGCGGCTGCCTGTGTTCCTCGGCAATGGACAGTTGGGTGAAACTTGTCGGCACAGCTGTGCTCGGATGCGACTCGAAAGTGTGTGCGTCCCCGTCGATATCTTTCTGGGGCAACGGCCCAAACGCAGATGAGACCATCTGCTCCACCTGTGCACATGTAGTGGCCTGGCCGCGGTGGCATCCACGGGAAGGGCGGAATTGCTAAGCTGTGAGGTCCTTCCGGATGCTGTTAACAGGATCAAATGATAGAGATTGCTGCATGTGGTGTGTCGTCAACATCAAACTCATACAAAAATTCCACTGCAACCTCAGGACAGGATGCGCTCCTCTGGAAGGACACACACCGAAAGCCGACCTTCTTACATGCCTTCTAAGCCCTGCCTGTGGGATCGCAGGCCATTGAGATGGCAGTCTGAGTTCAACGCTGAAGCTGAGTTGATGCACTCAGGCACTCGTGATGCCATCTTCTGCCGAGGTGCCCAGTTGTGCGCAATGACCTGATCCTAGCAACACCGGAAGTGCGAGGCACAGCACAAGATTTGGATCCCAGCAGGCTCCTCGCAGCTTTGGAGCGTGTGCGAGGGAAAGATGTGGATTTTGCCTCAGATTTTATCCAGCTCTGCTAGACATTGATCGGTCATGTCGGGCGCTGATCTCGCCTGGTGTTCCGCCAGCTGCCACCCACAAACTATCTCCGCTCGGCGTATATGCCATCTGGTTCACCTCTGCATGTCAGTACTTGTCTCTGCCTTGCGTTTAGAGCTAGTACAGATGCAAGCTGCCTCCACGTTAAGACTCTTCGACGAGCCTGGCATGCACCGTGCATCTTCCATCGATTCTGAAGACATGATCTTGTGAATCTTGTTCTAGTGCCCTTGCCTTTAACCAGCACCCTGACGGCTAGCCTACACCTGAAAGATCTTATAAATCCTCTCTAAAAACCCGACCTTCAACGGGGCCCTCGCCTAGCTTCAGGCAGTTGTCACCCTTCGGAGTCTTCAGGTTCAGAAGGTAAATCTGGTCATTGCCTGCCAAGAAGGAGAGAAAGCTCCAGGTAGCTCCAGGTAGCTGATGATTTAATATTTATATTATAGTAAATGATACTATATTATATTATAGTATAGTATACTATATTTTATTATGGTCTATCATTAATGATAAAGCAGATTGCTGCTGGGCTCCCTGCGATTGCTCAGAGCTATGTTCTTGGAGTCAGGCGACCAGCAGAGATGCAGAAAGTCCTGACAAGATCTCCGAAACTCGCAGCAGGTCGGGCGGCCAGGGATGAAGAGCCCCCGCAAAACCCCCAAGCCCCGAAAGCCCAAGCCCGTGTAGCTTACAAGGTCCCGCATATTTGGGGCCGTCTTTTTCAGGTCCACGTCGAACACGGAGCTACCTTAGTGCGGTTTAGTTTAGGAGGTTGCGCTTGACGGCACCAGGCAACAGAGGTGACGCCCTTAGCGCTAGTCCGCTAGTCTTCTTGCTGAAGGTGTGATTCTGACGACAAGCAGTACGAGACATGTGCGGCAACGGTCGAGTCAGAATGCAAGCATGCTGTGCGGCAGTCCGCATGCTACATCTCACCAAGCAGTGAAACTTGAGTGAAACTTGCATGGTGGCATGCTCGGATCCGCTGAGCGGAGAGCTTGAAGATCTGGTGTCGAAGATCTTGAACCTCAGTTCCATTGCGCGCAAAGACGAAAGACGCTTAGGAGCCGCAAGCATGGTTCTCGTATTCTCCGGTAGCCTGAGGACCCTTCTTGCCATTCCAGGCAACGGCGGCAGCTATGCGGGGGTCGTTGGGATCCGTGCGGATGCTCATCCACCTCGGAAAACGGCAAACCGGCGATGCACACTGTGTGCCCTGCGCTCACCCTGACAACGACTGCAACGACAGGATTCACCGGCGCAAAGCAGCATCAGAGGTTGCTTAAAGGTTCTTAACCTACCAGTATCAGCCCGGGCGCCTGCATTAAGCATGAACCGAAATAACCCTGACAGCAAGCGCAAAACAGCCAAAGTCCAAAGGGTGGCTTAGCTGAATTTCCTGGGCGCCCGAGCTCTCCCGGCCAGCTCCTCTCCTCCTCGCCTGGCGATGCGAAGCCGAATGCCGGGAGCTGGGGTGGGAGCCTCGGATATCCTCGGAGAGACCCCTGCGGCTCAGAACTTCGCTTCGGAGTTTCCGGCCTCTCTCGACGTCCTGCAGCCGGATGCCCGGGCCTCAACTCTCTTGCTCCAACTCCGCCATGCATCCGATCTTTCTGGGAAATCCTGGGAAGCCGGCCGTCCTTTGCGGCGACTAGGAGCTTGTCACCTTCGGACACGGGTTGTTCAATCAGACCCCAGCCAGACACCGAAAATCGCCGCTGCTCGCCTGCCCAGTCCATGGCATAGAGGCTGGAACGCTTGAAGCCAGCGACATAGTCCTTCTTCACCTCAGGGCACACACACTCGCAAGTGAGACCAAATCAAGCTTAATCCATCATGAGGCCCCAGCTTCGTTCTTCACCTCGGCTGTCATTGCAGCTGCCCAGCAAGAAATCAGAGCGCAAGCACATCAGGATGCTGGCTGTGCAAGTCGGACTCCTTTTTGTTTAACCGATGCTTCACGGTTGCTCGCAACCATGAAACAGAGCAACGCATGGCCCGGCACCCAGGCCGTTGGCTCCAAAGTGCGGGTTGCCTGCCAAGGCTTGTGTGCTCACACCGAGTCACAACTTGCTCGTGCTAGGCTGTCCTCAACTGTATGGCAACGATGCAGCTGTGGCCGACGCACCCTAACTTACATGCTCCTGGCTGCTGCAGCACGTGTAAGGCGGTGGAATGCCAGGACGCAGCCTCCCCAGAAGAGCATGACATCTCCGGGGCCGCAGACGGCGATGCTGACCCCGCGACTGGCCAGCCACTCGGCATGCTCCTGCACATCAGCGGCCGTTTCACCAAGCTTCCTCATCTTCCTGCCCAGTTGCCCTCGCTGTATACTCTGACTCAGGGAGATTTGGAACATGTCAGCTGCTGCTCCTGCTCTATGGGCTGATCCACGTGCAAGGCAACCTGACGGGCTCGCAAAATTACCTTACGCTGCATTCCTTTCAACCCCTTGTGCAAAGCCCCTCGAGACTCCAGAACGGAGACGCGAGCTTGCCCTGCGACCTCCCAGTAGGCTTGGTAGCCTAGACCTATCTTCTGGAGTCTGTTGGCTCCAATAATTAACACACTATAACACACTGTAACGTAATATGATACTATAATATACTATCATCCAACCTACTACAACATAGTAGAATGTACTATAATTGACCATAACGTATGTACTAGATCGAAGCCCCTCTTCAGAGCAGACGGGCGCCGCATCCAGCCTCGGCGTCGGCCGATGGCCCACGAAATCCTCACTCGTGGACAGACACGCAAGACCGGGCGAGCGAGAAAAACACCGACAAGACCAGAGCGTGGGAGAGAGAGAGAGAGAGAGAGAAAAAAAACTCAGAATGCGTATGTGTGTCTGTGCGTATAGGACATAGTTGTCGATTTTATGTTTCTTCTATGTATATATACATACATGTATATACATCTTTTACATGGATTACAAGAAAATATAATAGTGTATGATACGTGTATATATATATATGTATGTGTATGTATACAGTATGTACACATACATGGGGGTTGTTCTTTATTATGGCTGCAGCCCGTAACTTGAAAATCGCCTTGCTCTTCGCCCTTGCGTGCACACGGTTTCAAAGGCATTCCCAGCTTGAAGCCTTCGTAAACCTTCTTATGCTACTTTAGCGCCCTTGCTTTCGCCCTTGTGCGCGCTGCGCCGTGCCGGTGTTGGAGCAGGTCCTAAACCTTCATTAAAACAAAAAAAGTGCGCTGTTAGTCTACGGTCAAGAAGCGGGGGCTTAGAACAACTCTCACATCACGTTGCACAGATATGTAATATGCGTGCGCTTTCGTGCATCCCTGTACCCCGTGCGCTGCTGTAACCTTGCCAGCCCTCAGCATCCATCCCAAGCTAACCCGAACTCCCCCCAGAAAAAAAGCAGCTTGCCAACCAAAATGAACACGAGTCGATCCATGCGCCATATCAAGCACACCACATCCCAAGCCTGTTCATCTATCAGCCATACTAGTAGCTCAAGATACGGAGAAACCTAACCTTTGCCTTGGTGTGCTTTGTCCGCTCTACTGTGAGGGGACTGGCCTCACTAAAGTAACATGGGCGTAATACCCCTAGTTCCCCATTGCAAGCACCTTTCTTTCTTCTCGCCGTGCCGCTTCTTTCTCTTCTTTTCCGCTCTCGATCTCTTCTTCTCCTTCCACACGGGGCTGAAGCGATGCCTGGCCGCTCTCGGAGCTCAGCTTAAGCTCTCCGAGAGAGAGGCTCCCTTTCTTTATGCAGGACTAGGCGAAGGGTTTCCCTCCCCGCTTGCGCTCAAGCGCACCCCGTTTGGGAGTACAGGGAGCTGAAAAGACATGGCTCAGGCCTACTGTCCAAAAAGAGCGATCTTCCAAAAAATGAATCCATCAGAAGATTAAACATCGTCTTCTTCCCCAGGGCATGGGGGTTTGCGAGACCCCCCGGCCACGAGGGCCCCCAGATGTTGAGGGGCATTGATGGGATCGTGAAAACTCCCACGGTCGACGCGCTCATCTGAGGTTGCTTTGTTTTAGGTAGGGCAAAGATGTTCCCCGTGGATTAGTTGCGGACATCTGCACTAAGCTCAGTTCTTGTCCCGCATTTTGTTGTGTACACTGCCTGGCTTTACTGATGCAAGAACATTGCGTCTTGGAGGCATGAACATGTTTCAGCATACGGCACGCGGTCTGCTAGGTGTCCCCCCAATTTACAGCCAAATACAACAGTAAAAGTAAGGAACGTAAAAGGACATAAATATGCTTGGGGTCACCTAAACTTGCTTGCCCATTGCGCATCGTCTCTCTATCTTCTTTCTTTCCCCAGGGCATGAGGGGTCTGTCAAACCCCCTGGCCAGTTGGCCCCGCAAATTGTTATTTGGGGCTTTCGGAGGGAGTGAAAAGTGTGAGTGCAGTTCGCTGGCAGTGCTTTTCTGTGGGGACGACAAAAACAAGAACATAAGTAAGCTCTCCCCCGTTTGCACTGTTAGTTGGGACACCATGATGCCCACACGGGATGCGAGAGCATCTCTTGCTTGCTTGCTTGCTGGGGGTTTGGGGTCAAGACCCCCGGCCCGAAGGCCAACCCCTCCACGGTCCGCGACTGTGTCTTCTGCTACCCCGTTTTGGAGTGTTGCAAGTGTGTTCCCTCCAGGCAAGCACAGGCAACCCTCCCCCAACAAACACCCCTGCTAAGACCGTGACCGTGTAGTTACACCCCCACTCTGTGCTTTCCTGGGTCCTCCACACTGCCTTCTACGAAGCCCCCAAACAAAGCTCCACTTTGTAAAGGGGTGTGGGGTGTGCCAGTCCACGAGAAAACTGTGGGAACACTAGACATCAAGCTTGCTTGCCGTTAACTTCCTGGCTCCCCCACGGACATGGACTCTACCGGATTAACCCAACCAACCTGCCTCCCCACCTGATCCCGAACAGAACCTTGCAGCAGCACTACCTGTCACCTTCCCACCCCCGAAGCCTCTACTCTCTGAGAAGGTTTGATACTATTCCGTGTTTGTTGACTCAGTCGGCAGGGCAGCACACACCGCAAACGAAAGGAAGAAGACAGCGACTGCTTCAAACCCCACAGTGCCTAGTTGGCCCCCTGCCTTATTCATCTCTCTCTCTCTCTCTGTCTGGGATATCGCGCGTTGTGTCGAGCGGCTCGTGACCCACGGTTTCACCTCGTCGCCGCACGTGGCATCAACGCCGAAGATCTGGAGCAAGGCGGCACTTGAAGCTGCGAAGTGGGCTTGGAACTCAGCTTGCCGTGATCGCAGCTTTTCCTAAAGCCCGGCTTCTGTCTGTATGCCGGAGACTCCAGTTCTTGGGACCAATGGTTGCTTTCAGGCCACTCCCCGCACTCTCACAAGCTTGAGTTCTTCAGATGCAAGCATGCAAGCAAGCAAGCATGAGGCCTTGATGCCATGCACGACATGGCACATTTGGACCATGGGAACCAGGTCCTGAGGCATAGTGACTGCATGTGACTGCTTTAGCATACCCAAGAAGCACTATGGAAGCCAGAATCATGGCTGTTGCTCGTGCTTGCACTTTCGGCACAATGCCAGCCCATCCCACCCGAGCGCTCCATGTGGACGTGCGAGGCAGAACCTCCGTCTCCAGCAAAGACCTGCGACACAACTCAAGAGCTATGCTCAGCACGATCATCGGACGATGATCGCAGTGCAAGCTGTGCTGGTGAGCATACTGAGGCTAGCTCGGCACATGGCTTCAGCAAAAGCAACCGACTTTGGCACTTCAGGAGCCCGTGCTGTCGTCAAAATACCCAAAAACGCATGCTACTGTCGGACGGCACACAAACCCACGTGGCGCCAAAACTAGGTACTCTTGGCAAGGAGTCCTGCGGCAGAGCATCGTTCATGCGGAAGCCATCCATCAGCCTGTGATCGTTGAGGCGAGGTCTAGACAAACAGGGTTTATGGCTCCCTTGTGCCTGATCGCGTCTCTTCACTGCTTGGATTCAATGCCTCCATGCACCCCGCACCTCTACCCCACCAAGACAGGATCTAGAATGGGTTGCCATAACGCACCGATTACTCGTCCAGGGTATCAGATGGTGTTGGAGTTAGAGTTAGAGGGTCCAACTTTCTGCATCCCCGATGCAGAGGGGTCTGGGCACTACGACCAAGCGATGATGGCACGTGTACCTCCGACAACTCAACGGCTAGGGTGAATGCTGGACTTGGTCGTTGATTTCTGCTGCTTAGCGGCGATGCGGCGTAGCGTTTCTTAGGGCCATCGGCTGCCAGAACTCAACAATCCCAAACGCGCGGAGATTCACAGAGTGCCAAATCGCAGCGCCAGATCAATTGCAACCTCTCCTCGCTCCGAGAAGCTCTGACACCTTGGGCAGCAACTCTGCCGCCGCTTTCTCGGAGGCGTCATCGGCGAGTCGGGTGAGCAGCTCGGTGGAGGCCTCGCGGTGCAGGAGGGGAGGCCATGGAGTGGCCTCTCCCCTCTCCCGCAACATCCCCCCACTCCACCCCTTCCGATGAACTGTGTTCTACCTGCTGGAACGTGTCTTCAAGGCCTCGAACAGCACTTGCGACATTAGACCTTTCCCGAGCCGCCTCTTTGGTCCATTTGTTTGCGGCTACCAGAACGCAGCAGAGGCTTGCGTACAGAGAGCACACCCTCCCTTTCTGGCCGGGAACAGAAAAAGCCGATCACTCCCTCGGCCAAAGTGGCGCATCTTTCCACCCATGCTGCTACAGTATGGTGGTTGCACACCATGTACATGCTCCCTTGCCCAACGAGGCAAATCTGCAGAAAATCCTTCTGATGTGGAGTGGAATTGAAGCCTTCGATTCTTCGTGTCGAGCTCGAGTTCGATAAGATTGCCTTCTGTCAACATACATGCTCCAGGCTCCTACTGACGTCCTTTGCTGCAGGCGTCTGCAATAGCAGCGATCGGCCTTCAATCACACCATAAGACTCTATAAGACACTGCAGCTATCACGATATCCCACGGATATACGGGCTGGGGTTGGGCACGAGGCCAGGTAGTTGCTCTTGTCATGAGTAGCCGAACCTTGAGAAAGGAGAACGACAGCGAGGCTTTGCCGGGCCTCTCGGATGTAGAGCGGTTCCTCCAGCACGGGCTGCGCGACCTCCAAACGGACCGGGAGGTCGGCCGCAAGCAGCTCCTCGACCCTTTCCAGTGTGGCGTTCAGCACGGCCTCGCCATTGATGGTGACCTGGAGATGAACCGGAGGAGAGGTGCTGAGTCGCTGAAAACATTGACCGGAAGCATTTTAGTCGTGCTACCGTTGCCAGTACCTGCAAGACAAAGTGCGGGTGGGGGGGGACCTCTTCAGGCCGAGAGTCGATGATGTCGCCAACCTTGATACCTGCCCTCTCGGCCACGCCATTTTTCCCCACGGCCTTGATGACAGCTCCCCTTGACCAACGCCGCGACATATACTGCATGTTGAAGGGCTGCTCGCCCAGGTCAACCACTCGACCATCAGCCACTCGCGTTACTCGAGTCAGGTCAACGGCACCAGTTCCTCCCAAAGGACATACCTGCAGCAGGTCCTCGTACGTCAACTGCGGGGAGTCTAACTCTGCGCCGAAAACGTCCGACAGGGAAGATCCCATCAGGCAGGGGAACCTCAGTGCAGGTAGGCTGGGAAAAAGCCAAGGGCCAAGGCCCTCTGCATCCAAGCCGCAAGTCCTGTACCATCACAGTGCTTGGCAAGTCCAGGAGTTCGGCTCCTCCTGGAAGAACGACCTTTCAAGCGGCAGAAAGACGTCAACTCTGGGCCCAGTGCACAGACCCAATACCAAAAAGCCCCAAAAGACAAAAAAAAGACTCGAGACCGTCTTCGCCGATTCGCCGAGGAGCCGGGCCCCGGCCTTCGCTGAGCCGCTCCGCCACCTCGCCCAGGCGCTGGGCATCGAAGAGGACGTAGCCGGGGCCTGATGGGAGCCATGGGTCAGAGATGCTCTGAGGCTTCTGACAGTATATTATGGCATATTATATAGTATATTATAGCATAGTATAAGTATATTATGGCATCTTATAGTATACTATGGCATATTATAGTATATTATAGCATGTTTAGTATATTATAGTATGTTTTCTACCAATGCCGTGAAGGTGAAGGTCTGCTGGCCTTTCAGAGGCCAGGGCCCGAGGCTGCTGCTGATGACTCGGGGCCAGCTCGGTGCCATCATGCCTCACAGTTTAGGGCTATAGGGTTTGGGGTTCCTGGGTTCCTTTAAAGCGCTCAAAACGGGTACGAAAAGGGCCTCACAATTTAGGGTATAGGGGTTTTAGGGTTTAGGGGTTTAGGGTTTAGGGGTTTAGGGTTTAGGGGTTTAGGGGTTTAGGGGTTTAGGGGTTTAGGGGTTTAGGGTTTAGGAGCACACTCCGACACTCCGGCTTCTGGCACTCTTTGCGTTCGCAGTTCGGGGCTGGGGGATCGAAGCAAAATCAAAAAGAGATCAACATCAAAGGAAACGTCTGGGATCAAAAACAACTCAGGATAGGTATCAAGACAAAGTCAAAACGCTAATATCTCTGGAGGGTGTACTGAAACTTACCAACTTTCGAAGCAAAACACGATGAAACAGGGATCCACACAAGCCAAACAAGCATTTGACTGTCTGCTGTCTAGGGGGAGAGAGACACGGTGCAAGGGTGGTTGGATCGCAGTAGTACTGGATGTAGCAGTATGCGTATTCCATAGTGACAGCAACAATAACGGCAACAGGTAATAGCAATTGGGAAGGCAAACATACACTAATCGTATTTAGTTCACCAAACGAAACATATATAAACAAACTATAGTGAGATAATAATCATGATACACTAGTCGTATTGAGATCACTAAACGAAACATATAAAAAAAAACTATAGTGAGAATGGTAACACTAGTAACAATCATGATAGAGATAGTAGTCTTAGTAGTCATCATCATCGTCATCATCATCAGCATCATTATAATCATGACCATCATCGCCATCATCATCATCAGCAGCAGCATCACCAGCAAGCCACAGTCATAGCAACAGTAATCGCACAAATCGTAGCAATAATGAAGATGATTCGTTGTTGCTGTGATAATTGGAATACTACTACAGTACGGGTGAGAGTAACAGTAGCGGGAACAGTAAACATAAGAGCAATTGAGCCACTTTAGCCGAACATTGAGATCTCTAGTTCACATGACTAGGAGCCGCTCTGAAGTATGTATGGCCCAAACACTGTAGTTTACCGCATTTCAGAGTTGAGATGCTTGTGTTGATGCCTACTTGACTTTTGCTTTGATGCCAATCCCTCGTTCGGGGCAGCAGGGTTTGATATGATCTCAAAGGGCGTTGGCTTGCCAGTGGTTTCATCACGGTGCCAACTCCTATCAAGAAGCACGCGGCCCTTCTCCACATAACGCAGTCTTAGGCGCCAAAGTCTGTCGCAGGCTCCCGTGCTGGACACAGAGACGCGAAGAGCTCTGAGTCTGACATGGTCAAGGACACCTCGGCTTCAGCGTCCTCCCACCTTGGCAGCCAAGACTTGGCTTCAACATCAGCTTGTTGGAGCATGTTGGAATTTGCCGTGTGCTGCGCTTGGCGCTTGCCAGTCAAACCATAAACCGCACCAAGCTGCTTGCCTTCATCCGTAGCCTGAAGCCGCACCGGCTTCCAGTCGTCCGTATTGTCGTCGCCCACCTGCCCGTCAGGTGGCAGGACTGTATGCGCTTTATTAAACTTTCCGTTTTCGTTGAGAGCAGCTGGGTCTCTGTCTGAGGCCTCGCGTGCTGACAAGGCGAGCCTCACCCACGAGCACATCGGAGTCCCGTCCAGAAGCTCCACGCTCCAGCAGGATCACTTTTAACTTGAGAGAAGCCTCGCAGTGCAGTCTGCTCCTCTAGCCTTCTTCGGTGGCCTTCCGTCTCTCCTACGATGTCTTCGACATGCCTGAAGAAACCCGTGCTGGGATCCAGCGGAACAAGCAATGCATGTCGCAATCTTCAACGACTTTCGGAGATGCCAGCAGGTGGCATCATCGAGCACCAGCAGAGGCGCCGCCCTCGCAGCAGTCCGACGCCGAAGGGCCAAGGCACATCCCGAGCGCCGAAGCGGAAGGCCAAGGCACGCGGCAGCGAACGCGCTTTGGATGCCAGGCTTCCAAGGCGTCCAGGCCTCTCGCCTGTCTGCCTTGGTTGACATGTACGCAAAGAGCGGCTGCTTGCGCCCGGTTTTTTTGCCAATATGCCAAGATACATGTCTTCGGGCCCCTGGCCCTTGTTGGAGATGCAGAGACGCACTGCCCCATCCAGCAAACAGGCGCGACGGGGTACTCAGCTCCATGGCGATGGCACGAAAAGTGGTGCGGGCGGCATTCGGGGAAAGTTGCAAACGATGTAAGGCGAGAACTGAACTGCTTGGGGAAACTACTGTCAGGTTTAGGGTTGGTTTTGACGAGAAGAGCCAATTTTTTGATATCTATCCACCTTCATGTTCCTTCGTGCTGGCTAGATGTAGCATTTGTTTCGCTTCGCGACTTGATGTATCGCTTCCTGGCCAGCTCAGGCAACATCAATCCCCACCCAAAGGTCCTGCCTTGATGAGACCCGGATGCTCAAGGAACATCATTCTGCTGAGGCATGCTGAGGCCGAAGCCTCTTCTCGATCTCCTTCACCTCGGGGCATCTTTTCGATTTTGGCCAGCGCAAGCTGGTTGCATGCAGGCCAAATTCTGCTAGCCCGCAATCAACCATCCATCCGTCAGTCATCATCTGTCCATCCGGGATCCTAGTCACCAGAGGGGGATATCGCAGCAACAGCGGCGATCTAGTTTGCACCCACGACTCATAGCCACACGAAGGTGCTGAATCTGCGAGAGGCAGTCTCGTAGATGACTGCCAGCGAAAGCCTGTCTCTCAAATTGATCGGAATTTTGTGGGCCAACCTGATCGGGGTGTGTTGAACAAAACGACTCCGACAGGCTTCGCTGTTTCTTTACCTTTTCAGCTCGCATGTTCTTTTTTTGCCTAATTCGAGAGCTGGAATTTCATGTTCACCGACATCCGTCGCTTAGTTCGCCCGATTCGAGAGAGAGACTACCACTTTTTGCCGGCTTTCCGATTTTCGGGTCATGAGTCATAGCGATGCGAGGGTCTTGTGTAGGTTGTCCTTTCCTTACTCACCATCGTCGTCGGTATCGTCATCGTCATCATCATCATCGTCGTCGTCATCATCATCGTACATCGTCGTCAGTACCACTGTCTTCACCACCATCACCGTCGTCCTTTTCAACCTCCTCCTCCTCAGTATCATCGTCATCGTCGTCCTCATCCTCATCCTCATCATCATCACCATCGTCATTGTCTGTATCAGGATGCACATACCCTGTCAAGAAGACGCCGGTTCGCATATTAAAACGAGGCTGTGGACTTTCCAGGCATTGTAGTCGCAGCATATGCGGGTTTTCAGCGACAACTTTGCAACGTCTTGATGTGGCATGGTGCACATTTCTGGCCAAAATCGTCTTCCTGCCGCAGATTCCCCGGGTCCTGTTGTGCGCAGTGAGTAGTTTGAGCAAAATCGTGTTCCCCTCAAACCCTCGTGGTGCAGGCGGCTCTGCACTCGTCCGCGACGCCCTCGTTTCTACGGTTCGCGAAGGCCCCTTGGCCCTTGTATTCGTGCGCGCCACACGCTCACCTGCTGCCGGCTCGAAGGGCACTAAGCCAAGGCACGCCCTCGACATTGGACGATGACTGTGTATCTGGTGCAGCGTCGCCCGACCCTCCCCCCCCCCACCCCATGGGGCTTGCCCCGGCCTGGGAGTGGTGCGTGCCAGCGCGCTCTGTGCTCCGCCCCCCTGTGAGGCTGTGGGTGGCCTCATGCTGTCCCACGCCCGGCCTGCCGGGATTGTTTAACCCGCCTCGTCCTCTGCGGTATGGTCGTGGGTTATTTAAACCCCTCTCCACCCCTGTGGTGGTGGGTTGTGGGTTTCAGCTTAAGTGTTTAACCCCCTTACCCCCTCGCTGCGGTGGTGGGCGTTGTTAACCCCCGTCGTCCCCCTGTGGTGTGGTGGTGGGTGTGGGGTTTATTCCCCTTCCCCCCTCCCTGTGGTGTGGTGATGGATGTTGGGTTTAACGTTTAGGACCCGGTTGGCACATTTGAGACAAAAGAAACGACCCTCACGAGGATTTCGGGTGCATACCATGGGGGCACCTACCGAGCTACCGACACGCGACACGGCACCATATATCTGCATGCACCTCCGCTTTGATTGCAGACTTGCTGTGCTGGAGCAGGCAGGCAATATATGCACAAACAAGGGATCACGTCGCGGCCAGCACCAGAATTTTTGCGACACAGGGATCGAGATTGACAGATTGGAGTATTTGCACTAACTACATTAAGACTGGAGAAGAGGCACGCGAAATAAGCTTCCTGTCGTGCTCCTTACGAAACGGGTGAACCCCACCATGAATCAACCACCCACACCGATGGATGAAGGTAGCTCAGTGAGCACCCGATGAAGTACTTGCTGCTTTATGTCTCGCCTTCTGTTTCGGGCTACGGAGGCCTGGGGACGGCTTGATTATTTGGGGTTCGGCTGCTTCCGGACTGCCTTGGGGTCGTGATGACCTCAATTGGGCACTCATTGTTGATCTGTAGTTCCTGAGGCAAGACTGAGCTCAGCACCATCCCGATCCCAGATGCCGAAGTCCTTTTCCATACGAGCATCCTCAAGGCAATCTGCGAAGTTGTTCGTGGTTTGTCCCTCGAATTGCGCTTCAAGTCTGCACGAGGCTCGACTGCCAGAGTTCAGACTGCTTTGGACGGGTGACACTGGCGGCTAGCTCTGTCCTTATACCTTCAAGCCACTACTGCGCGGAAGAGCAGGACTTCAACTATTCCTGCCGCCACTGCTGGTACTACCACCATCATCACGACCACGATGATACGACCACGATTTTACCACCACACATGTACGTTCGAGAGAACTCACTGACCAGCAGCCAAAAGCACGGAGTGGCATGGAATACATTGTAGACCACTCTGGCATGGGGTCGAGCGGCATATCGAGCATCACACAAACGAACGAGAGTGAGAATCGCGACCCGCGACCCCAACCACCGACACCTCCGAGCGAAGTGCTCAGTAGTGAAATGCTCGATCGAGCAGTCGGTGCAACCTTCACGGGACCAACCGGCGAAGTCTCGAACGAGTCTTCCCGACCCGCAAGACCCGAGCATCTCCCCTTTCATCACGAAGGGTGGGTTGGGCGGGACAAAGCAGATCCTTCCTGGGCCTTCGAGGCGATCGCCTCGACCCAACATGGCCACGGGAAGATCTCACATTCAACAATCCCTGAACAGGCTGCAGATCACATGCAGTGGTGTGACCCTCCTATCCCAGACCAACCCAACCGATCATAAGAGAACCACTGCGACTACGAAGACCACGTGCGGATCCGCAGCATCCTGCAAAGGGTGATGCCACAAAAGCTTAATCCCAACAACTCGAGACATAACGGACAGAGACTACTGTACTTATACTCGCACTCGTTGCTGCGAAAGAGTGCGAAAGAAGCGCCACTGCCTGCTCGGCGTAGTCCGGAAGGATCCAGGGATCCGTGAGCTCGCCTCATGTTTCGATCTGCAAGGAACGTTCGACTTTTCACGGCCGAGGGCCGAAGCTGTGCCCCGGGCCTAGTTGCAAGACCTCGTCGTCGTATTCGATTTCCATGGGCTCTTGTGTCACGTCGAGCGCGTCCGCCTCCACTAGTAGGGGAACTGGGGCTCCGTCCACAGTTAAGGCGCCAATTGCCAGCTCAGCCCGCAAGTGGCCATTTGGACCGTCCAGGAAAGAATCACCCAGCTCTACCGGCCGCTCCGCGGCTGGGTTCAGCTCAGGCATGAGCTCATCTGGAACTGGCACTCCAAAGGCTGCCGGTTCTCCTTCTCCCTGTTCTCCCGGTTCCGCGGGCTCGGGCGGCTCCACGGCCTCTCCATCCTTTCCTTCAGGGACCTCTTCCTCCTCCGACTCCGGCTCCAAGTCGACGTTGGAAGCCGTCATCGCACCATGGTGTGCCGGTGCACTTTCTTGGCTTAGAATGAAGACCTTTGTGAATGGGGCTGAATATTGAGACAAGCAATGCGGAGATGTGGTTCAACTAATCTCATGTTGCTCCTTGACTCCACTGCTTCGATGACAGCTCTGCATCGTTTCAAAGATCGCCTCTGTCTAGAACGTTTGCACAGTTTTGGCTGAGTAGCTATGATCTGCAGTCCCGCCACGTATGCCCTCTCGGTCTGCTGGTGACGGTCAGGGAAACTAGCTTCTTTTCTGCATGCCTTGTAGGAGGTTTTAACATCGAGGTACAGGGTTGCAGTGCAGGGCTTGTGCAGGCGTTGGTGGGAGGTTTGCACTCAGCAAGAATCAACACTTCTCGGAGCAAGAACAGCTCGTGGACGGGCGAGCTCCTTGAGTAGACGCAGATACGTTGCGCAAGCACCGCGGAACTGGACCTAGCTGCTGACATAGCTGATGACGATTTGAACCGATGCTCTCAACTTATGGAGTTTATAATCTAACACCTGACGCAGCATCCTCACGTGAGCAGTTCGGAGCACTTCGAAAACAATGAGATGACCTTTGGCTCAAAGTGAGGAAACCGATCCGGCGAAGGAGTGAGACATCATTAGCATCATTAGCACGAAGAAGGGAGGAACCTTAGGGACTGACGAGAGTCAACTTGCAGCCTGGACGGCTCTTATGGCACGCTTGCTTGCGATAGAAATGCTCCAGATCTGACAAGCTTGCACAGCTCGGCACGGTGCTTGGGGCTGGGGAAACAGAAGCCACATGCAGCGCAACGGTCCTAACCAACGTAAGCTGGGGGCCGCAGGTGACCACGCTGCTACAAGCTGACTGACAGTCCGCCGAACGATGGGTATCCTGGAAGCTGTTGCAGTGACTGCGGAGGCGTCACGACATGCAGAACTCGCCGCTGTGAAATGAGGCATGATCCTGGCATGTTTCTGGCAGGAGCCGCGTAAAAAGCCGGCACCGGCATTGACGGTGCCGTCGCCGGGGATGTGGCCCTGGCGTTTTCAAGTGCTTGGAAGGCCTTCGAGAGATCACAGCTGGAGCACCTGGGTGTTGGCGTGATGAACCGCACCGGCACAGGAAAGACTCCTCACGGCAGGAGTTGCAGCTCTTCGAAAGCTCTTCCGACATGACTGAGCTTTCGTTGCCACCGTAGGATACTCGCAAGGCAAGCTCCCCGAGCTGCTCTGAGCACAAGTGCCAGCTCCAATTTCCTGTCGGAAGCCCAGGCTTTGCACATAGGCCATCCTCGCAAGCACGGCTACAGCTGACTCTGTGAAGTTCCGGCTCGATGCCCAAATAATGCTAAATTGAACTTTCTGCTGCTGCAGCACTGTTGAGATTTCGTAAGATAACCCTGGTGCAATGCTAGTCAGTGCGGTGGTATTGTTGCCCACGATAGTGAAGATTAGCATGAAAAGATAACCGCTCCAATGATGGAGACAAACGTGATTCTGACCTTTCTCACGACCTGATGCTGAATGCGGACCTTGCTGCCATCGACGACTACGAAGCGATGATGATGATGATGCTGCTGCTGCTGCTGCTGCTGCTGGGGTGGCGCGGGTGGCGGTGGTGGTGATCCTGATGATGACGACGGAGATGATGACAGTGATGGCGACGATGACGATAATGCTGACCATGGTCATGATCATGTTCAAGATCATGATGTTGGTCAGGATGATGATAATGAGGAGGATGAGTGACCAGTTTCTCTCAGAAAACCAACTTGTATCACTTGCGACAAGCACACTTGAGCATGTCCGGCACCTGGCTGCGAGGAGTTGCAAAGATTGGCTGGCCTGAACAACCGACATGCGAGTTTGCTGAGGGTGGCTACTGACAATGAAAGATTGGTTTGCCTCTGGGACTCCTGTGCCTGCTCTGCTGCCCAGAGTATACATTCCTGCAGTCTGATACCTTCAGACCCGAAGCTCGAGATGTCTCGAAATTGGTTCAAACAGGGAAAAGCCAACACCCATAAGCTGATCTATCCTAGACGTGAGTTCATGAGCCCTCAGACGCACACTCGGATTGCCCCAACTCTTGCCTGCAGGACGTTGTGCAAGCAGTGACCGCAGCGGCTGCGCTTCCGAGCCCTTGGGCCGTGAGCGAGCCCTTGCGTGCAAGACCAGAGATGGACAGTCGAATGGCAACACGACAAACTCTGCCCTTCAATTCATGGGGGTGCAGGCTTTGGACCTGGAAGCTTAGCAGCTTGGCTTCGCAGCTCCCGTCATAAACCTTTAAGAGCCTCGCCAAAAGAATGTCCTCTTTATAAGGGTGCCGTACTATTTCGGGGATCTGAAAAGCGATCCCAATTTAGAGAAACCCCCCCCTTTCTTGAGAAGAGCCTGCGAGGCGAGCTTGGAGAGCCATCGCCCTCCTGGGCAGACAATCAGAGGCCTAGGCCTTTAAGCTTTCAGGACTTTCAAGGGTTCTGGGGGTTTTTTCTTATCCTAATTCGCCTCGGCCCCGGCCGAAGCGGTCAGAGGTTCCTATTCGGATTCCCTCTATTCCCCACCTCTTAATCCCCTCCCCACTGACCCCCACCCCGCAAAGTTACCATCGTGGGGGGGGGGGGGGC